GCATCCTTTTACTCATGAAAGTTTTAGTTTAAAAGGTCGGGCAGCGATGGCTCGCCTTTAATCTCAGCACTCGGAAGGCAGAGCCAGGCAGATCTCTATGAGTTCAAAGCCAGCTTGGTCTACAAAGTGAGATCCAGGACAGGAATCAAAACTACATGGAGAAACCCTGTCTCGAAAAACAAACAAAAGCTACACCTTTCTTTTCTTCCTTCCTTCCTTCCTTCCTTCCTTCCTTCCTTCCTTCCTTCCTTCCTTCCTTCTGTCTTTTCTTCCTTCCTTATTTATTTCCTTACTTTTTTCCTTTTCCTCCTCCTCTACTTCTTTGTCATCATACATTTCTTTTTACATAGTGTGTAGTATAAAGATATACCAGAATCTTGCTTTCTACTAACTTCTGTTTCATTTTATCTTTCCCTTCTTTGTATCAAATGGAGAAATAGTTCTCTCCCAGTCTCAAGCATCCCTTTCTGTTTCACAGAGAGGGTCACTATCACCTGCTGGGCCAGCTCAATTGGCATCCCTGCTGACCTTCACTAGCACCAGAAGAAGCCAAGAGCCACTCTCAAGCTACTTATGTACGGCACAGACAACCAGGCTCCTAAGATCCCAACTTGCTTCAGTGACATGAGTCTTGGACCTCTTAATCTCTCACAATCAGCAGAATGGAACCTTAAAATGCCTCCACTTACTAATGACAACAGAAATGTAGTATCCCATTCACACAGTTCTACAAAACAGAATAAAACCCCTTTCAGCTTCTCAGGACACAGAGGCTTCCACCTTAGAAGATGAAATGCGGTCAAGAGTTTGACTGAACTGTAACAGATTCTCTCAATATTTCTGCAACAGAAGCAGGGAAGTTTTACTGATGGGTTTTAAGCTGTCCCTTCCTGCAAGGAAATAAAGGAAATGTACAGATGGAGATATTGGGATAAGACAACCAGATGCCCCATCTTTGTGGCATCCTATGTAAAGGACTGATTGAGAGCTGTGATTCAGATTTCTTAAACTGGGAATTGATTCTGGGGAGAACATCAATGGGCTTTTGAGAAAATATCAGCACTTTAAGAATTAATATTTTCATAAATGTTTCAAATTCAGTGAGGAACAACAGCTCTATGCAAGAGTAAGCTTTCATCAGTGATGATCTGTCTTCATCTGGAAGAAGTATACAATGAAAGCAGAGTTGTCTTGTCTTTCCTCTTGGGGTGGGGAATATTGATGATAGTATCTTTCTACATATTTGTAGACTGTGAAGCACTGTGGGAATGGGTGTGTCTAACACACAAGCACTAATGCTGTTGTAAAACTTTCAATTTACAGCAGAGTCTTCATTCTACTTCCTAAAATGTAAATTGAGAATTTGTATACTCTAGTCTTTAAATTTTAGATTTTGGAAGTACATACAAGCATACACAGTAACATAGAGAGGTCCTAAATTATATTCATACAAAGAACAATTCAACTTAATAATTTAAAAAAGATTAATTTCAAGTAATTACATATCAACACTTCTGTTAGATTTTAAATGTTCAACACTTCCTGCCTTCAAGTTTGTGGTGCCAATGTTTTGGCTTGACCCTTAGCTACAGCAGGAGTAACAGCATCACCGAGGCACCACATTAACCAAGCGACCTAAAATAGCCTAAAATTTGTTGTAGAACCGTGGAACAGCTTTATATTAGATAGCTTTGGCACAATATTTGGAAATGTAAGCTCTAATCATATATATGCTTAGGGTTTTCCAAAAACTATGCATATTAACTTTATCCTTGGCTAATACTATTTCCAATCTACATAGTTTTATTTGAAGTAACTCAAATGTGCCTTGAAAATTTGTGTAGGGAGTAATAACTTCTTTACTCCATTAACTAAGTTTAATATATTATAATCAATATTTCCTTACTGGTTTCAAAAAATCAGATTTTTTTCCTGATACAGTCAAGGTCTCACATAGATCTGCCTGAACACAAACTTGCAGTAGAAGTTGACCTTGAACTTCTGGCATTCCTGCTTCCTACTCTCAAGAGCTGGGACTAGAGGAGTGCACCAGTTCATGCAATGCTGGGCCTCTAACCAAGCGTAAAATTTTAATAGTAGGCAAGAAGTCCATAAATTAAGCTACTTTAAAAGAATAGTTTCTTACCTTTAGGAGCATATGTATGTTTTCTGCATGTATTTATGTCTTATAGCCTACACCTTATTCTCTCTAATGCTGCTGATCATTCACAGGAAGAAACAGTCCCAATTTCAGTTCATAAGTTTTGCTGAGCACATTACAATTTCCATTAATGATTGTTCATATTTTTTCTGGGCTCCACATGGACAAACACACAACCGTGTCCTCTTTCTAACAATTTCTCCAACAGGAGGAGCCAATAATACATGTTTATCCAATCAAGACATCAGCCTTTGGACTGCTATCCAGTAACAGTAACTGTAACCTTATCAACAAGATAAATTTCCAGTTTCTGATTCACTTGCCATCCAGGATTTTTTCCTAGTCCCTCTCCACTTCTGTGAGAGTGGTCTGGGCACATTTTGTATTCATAGTTAGCCAGTGGGAACGGGAGGTCCTGACAATTCCTCATTTTGCAGATGGAGAAAACCCTGCCCTTTGACACTAGCCCTGAACAATAACCTTCTTGGACAGGAGGATTAGTATCACACCTGTTTCCTTTTCCTTTCATCCATTGTAGTCCAGCGCAGAGCTGATGTAGCTGCTGGATTGAAGATTCTTGTCACCTGAATAGAGGTTGCTGGTTAGCATCTTAAAGAGTCTCCAAAGTTGAGAATATAAAAATCATAGGAAGAAATCTATCAGTACGCCTGTGAGAAAACATTTGACATAAAACAGCTGACATGTAATATCTCCACTTCGATTCCAAAGGATCATTATATGAAGGGGAAAGACAGGCAAGCCTGTATGAATTTTCATTGGCTATTGAGACATCTATTTTGGTATTTTTTCTATTTTGCATATTGCTAATGGTATGAATCTGTGGAAATGAATTCTTTTTATTTTTTCAAGGCAGTTACTTCCAACAGTGGAATAAATTACTATTTTGATGAATTCTGTATATTTATGGACATAATGTAATTGATTAATCAAAACATACATACATATTAACAGTTTCTTAAATATATTCATATTAATGGATATAATCAGGACATGAGGCACATATTTGTCTCTACTGCAGACTTTTTGATATATCCTTCAAAGCAAATACTATGACACCAGTCACCTTTTTCTTTGACTTTTTAGGTAAACCAGTTTCTTAATGTATCCACTTGCTCTTTTTGAGACCACTCCTGTGCTTATCATCCTTTCCAGGCCCTGTGTAGGTGACATTCTAACCCTGACAGATCTCTGTCTCCTGTGGAATAGTTGCCTGCACATGTTAAACTCTTTGCATTCAACCCTTCATGAAAACTCACACTAAGTCCACAATACCCTTACTCCCAGTGAAGACACAATCTGGACCCCAATATGACTATAACTCCCTGTGTGTAGTTTCCACTTCACTTTGTTACATGTTTCTCTCACCACATGATCTGTATCCCTCTTCCTTGAACCAAAAAAAGAGATATATCCTCTTATTATCTGGAAGAGTTATGGTGCCCATAGCATATGCAAGGGTATCAACCACTGTACATTCAAATACATGAATGATATTTCTAACAGAAAGCACCTGTTACTTAAAGACAATAATTTGTGTTAAGAGGAAATGGAAGTCAGATGCAATAATCTGAAGCCTCATGGGAAGATTTCGAATAGATATAATTCTAGCCTAATCCAGGAAGAGAGATCATATCCACAATTTGAAGAGGAGAAAACCTATGACTTTAGCTGGCTTTCATAGTAATTCTTTAGTAACTGAGCTGCCATAAACAGAGTAAAATAAGATTGTGTGAAAAAAATGAGTTAGTTACATGAGATCCTGACCTTTACAAACCATGTTTTCCAATATTATATTTTTATTCATATGGAAATCATCATGATCAAGAAGCTGCTTGGTGAGTTGTATAGATAAGCCCCAATGGATACTCTAGGTTCAGGGAACATTATGGAAAATGGGATAGAAAGATTTTAAGAGCCAGAAGATCAGGAAGTTTGCTCTGAGATTATATCTCCTAATAACATCCAAAGCTATGTATGTAAAATCTCACCAATATGTCTGCACAAATGTGAGCTGAACAAGGAGGATAACAATGAACCTGCCATACTGGTTGGAAAAATTTCATGAGGCCTCTGTTCTTCACAAGAAACCACAGACAACTGAACAAAGCTCATGGCAGAAGATGTGCTCCTTCCCAGGGAAGAGCACACCAATTGGTTGTCCATGGCCTAATGGACATGTAACATTATACAGATATAACAATGTTATTTAAGAATATATATATATATATATATATATATATATATATTATATATATGCAATAACAATTAATGAAAACAAAAAGAATTCGTGAATTTGAAGAGGGGAAGAACAGGTATTTGGGGGGTTTTAGAGGGAGGAAAGATAAAAAAGAAATGTTATAATTAAAATTCAATCTCACTTATAAACAGAAAACAAAAAAATGATAAAGTTGCACCACATCAATAACATCCATATACCTGTGAAATGACCCTGTAATAATTTGTCTACTGTTTAGAACTGTACCATATGTCACAGTCCCTGCCATTGAGGGAACTGGAACAAGAAATCCTATTTTGAAAAGACTAGAAAAGAAAGTAAGGTACAATTCATAGACTGGAACTCCTCTTTGGTCTCCCAAGAGGAGCACATTCCCTAAAAATGAACCTGTTCTGCCTCTTTTGCATGAGACATAAGAGGACCACAGGCATTTAAGGAATCACTAACCTGACCATCCCTGCAGCTGTGTCCAGCCTTTGCCGATTTGCATGTGCCCAGGACACAGCCCACTGCCCTGAGGACTTCTTCATAGTCAGGTCACACCCTGCTCAGGAGTCAGCCTCATACAGTCACAGCACAGACATGAGGGCCCCCACTCAGTTCCTATGGTTACTGCTTCTCTGGCTTACAGGTAAGGAAGACAGCATTGCAAATGTATACAGCTGAGTGTGGTCATTGCTAGCTGGTCTCTGGGAAAGTCCTCTTATAACAGAATTAATTTCATGAGAATTTGTTTTCAATTTTCCAATCTCAGGAGCCAAATGTGATGTTCAGATGACCCAGTCTCCAGCCTCCTTGTCTGCATCTGTGGGAGAAAGTGTCACCATGACATGCCAAGCAAGTCAGGACATTTATAGCAACTTAGCATGGTATCAGCAGAAACCAGGGAAATCTCCCAAGCTCCTGATCTATGGTGCAAAATACTTGGCAAATGGGGTCCCATCGAGATTCAGTGGCAGTGGATCTGGCACACAGTATTCTCTTAAGATTAGCAGCCTGCAGGCTGAAGACATTGCGACTTATTACTGTCAACACTATTACGGTACCTCTCCCACAGTGATTCATGCCATGACACAAACCATCAGGGAAGCAGAAGTGAGAATCCAGGCTGTCTTGATTTTACTTCTGCTGTTTCGAGTTACTGAAAGTGTTCCTCTTTGTCTGGAGTTAAAGGACAATGTCATGTTTCTATCTGCGGATCTGTATTTATTTAGATAAACTGTTCAGTGTCCTAAGTCTAAGTCCCCTTCCCCAGACCTAACGTTAAAAACAAGGGAATGCTTCTTATGAAAAAATAACTTTTCCAGAGTAACAGTTATGGCAACAGCTGAGATTCATACAACAGTGTTGTCAATACCCAACCATTCACAGCACACACACACACACACACACACACACACACACACACACACACACACACAAATTTGGAGTTGCCTTGGAAAAAAAATTTTGTCTAATTATTGCATTAAAATTCTCAGGAGGCAGTTTGGCAAGAGAGCTTAGTGATTAGGAACACTAGCTGCTCTTCTACAGGACCTAGGTTTGATTCTGAGCACACATACCACTGCTAGCAACTCTTTATAACTCCAGTCCCAGGGTATCTTAGACCTTCCCTTCTTCTAGCCTCTGATGCATTGTATTCATATGGCATACAAACAAATATGCAGCCAAAACACCAGTACACATAGAATAAAAATAATAAGTATTGCCAGGCAGTGGTGGAGCATTCCTTTAATCCCAGCACTCCTGAGGCAGAGGCAGGTGGATCTCTGTGAGTTTGAGGCCAGCCTGGTCTACAGAGCGAGATCCAGAAAAGGCACAAAGCTACACAGAGAAACTCTGTCTAGAAAACCCCCCCAAAAATGTATTAAATATTTTCAAAACCCTATGGGGCTAGTATTCAGAAAAACTGATACTGGGAAGAGATTATCTGCTGCAGGAGTAGGCTTCTGTGATGATGGCTAAATAAGACATCAATCAATGAGCAGAGCACACTATCATTAGGAGTCATTTTGTGATATATATAGATATAGATATAGATATAGATAAATAGATATAGATATAGATATAGATATAGATATTGCTTAGTAGTATTTGGTTTTACTTTAGGTTTCTGGGCCATCTACACTCTAGTTCTTGGCTACCAAACAGTGTCAAGTATGGGTTCCTTCTCATGGATTGAGCCTTAAGTCAAGTCAGACATCGATTTGTTACTCTCACAAGTTTTGTGCTACCATTTCCCTAGCATATTTTACACACATGCTAGCTATAGATCAAAGGTTTTATAGTTGGGTTGGTGTTCACTTGGTAGCCTGCAGAGAGCCTTTCCATGTCATAGACACTAGAAAATGGGGATGGAGTTTCTATGTAGGCACCAGCTTGACCTCTCCATATTCAATGACTTGTGTGGGTGTTGTCTTCATCAATGGAATCTTACTGTTAGTGTGTGGAGAGCAACCTATTTTCTTGTCAATAGCCTATGTTGTTTGGGGATTTTCATGGAAGCCATTTGGCCAACAAGTCACAGATGACAGTCAATCCCTGCACTGAGTTTCATTTGGTGACAAGTGATAGCCAGTGGGAGTTCTGTATTTAATATTTGGAGAATTCATCGGGGTCACTATTATATATTATAGGAAGTTTGCACTGCACAAGGGTTCCACACAGCCCTTCAAACGCTCCTCAAATGCTCTTCAATTCTAGCTCTTTCCTCCTTGTTCACACCTTCAGTTCCTTCCTTCAACTTCTTCCCATCTGATCCTCCTATTTTTGACCCCCCAGGTCCAGTACACTTGTAAAATATTTTCCATTTCTTCCATCCAAGGAGATTCACTTTCTCCCCCAGCTCTTCCTCTGTGCCTAACCTCTCTGGTTCTACAAATTGTACCTTGATTATAGTGTATTTAATGGCTTACCTTTCTTTTGCTGTGATAAGACACCATTACCAAGGCAATTTTTAGAAGAAAGAATTTAATTTGGGTGCTTGTATTTCCAAAGGGTTAGTTGGGGATCAACATAGTGGGAAGTATGTCAACAGGCAGACATTCATGGTGCTGGAGCAATATCTAAGAGCTTCAATCTTTATCTGCAAATAGTAGGCAGAGAGAAGCTAAAAGCTCACTGAGAGTGGATTGAGCTTTTGAAACCTCAAAGACAGTAGTCAGTGCTATACTTCCTCCAATAATTAATCTTTCCCAAACAGTTTCAACAACTTGGGTCCAAGCACTCAAATGTATTAACCTATGGGGACATTCTCATTCAAACCACCATAACAAGTGAGATTTCCAATATAGAACACTATAGGGAAAGATTTAGTCACAGTTGGACAGGTAAGTGTAGGCATTTCTCAGCAACTTTGGACCCACTAGGCTTGATCTAGGGACATATTCCTTTCTAATCAAAACATTTTAACTGGGAACCACAACTTCACAAAGGTGCATGAACACCACTCTCCAAAGAAAGCAATTAAGCCATTCTAACCAACGGCTTACCAGAATCCTCCATCATGGCCAAAAATGCCCATGAAGTTATAAAGGAGTAGAAGTAGTCAACCTATTCTGTCTACAACTGACAAAAGTTCTAAAACTATCATTTCATGAAAAATGTCCTATTTACTATCTTATACATGTTCATGATCTATCATGCATATGATTGCAATAAGATATATCACGGTAAAAGGATGTGTACATTGAAAAAGAGTATCAATGAAAACAGAAAATTATACACATTAGACCTCTCAGCAACTATATTCTCCTGTGGATGACAAGCAGAAGCTCCTAAAACTATCTGTTGAGGAAATTTCATGAAGGGACTGATACTCTATTGCAGTCTATCTGTCCTTTACTTCAGTTTGATTCTGAATAAAATCCTTTCGTGTTTCACTCTATGTTTGTGTCTCCAATTCTCTGAACAAGACCCCAAACCTTGAAGAGGCAGAAGTCCAGACCAGTAACTGACAAAATGAATGAGAGTAATGTAAAGAAATTAACAAGTATTGGGGCAAAAGGTATGAAACAAACTAAAATTCAGTTTGAAGCTGGGGAGAAGGCTAAATGATGGTATTTTACCAATGAAGTTGTACAAACAGATTGAACCAATGAAGAACAGAGAAGAGAAAGCATGGACCTACAAATCATGCCTTTTCAATCTATATGTGTATTTTTACCATGTTTGTGAGCTATTGGGATTTTCTTTGGGGTAAGTGTGTCTATATAGATACAGTTTCACTCCAATTATCCCCATGTCCTTGTGCCATATTCTCTTAAATTCTTGATGTCGTCTTCAGTTATTATTGCTACACACTCACTACCCCCCTCTCTCTCACACACACACACACACACACACACACACACACACACAGAAGAAGAGAGAAGAGTGAGTGAGTTAGAGAGAGACACAGAGAAAGATAATAGATAGAGATGTTTATATATAGCTCTTGCTGAGTCCATTTTACATTGCTCATATTCATAGTGTCTAGGGGTGACTTTGAAGAACTGGATACTTGTTAACTGATTACTCCCTGGAGATCACAGATTTTTCCTTTATTAATAGTCATTAATTGCCTTCATGTAGGAGATTTCCCTCATCTACAATGTCAGTTTTTGTTGTTATTGTACTGGTTTGTGTTAGCAAAGAGATAATGGAAAAAAATGGACGATGAGGAGGAATTTAACTGGTATCAGGGTAGAAAAATGAGTAAGTAGGAAGTGAAGAAAGTAAAGGGGGGGAGGGATGAATAATAGATAGCACTGCATGTTTGGAAAAGCCATAGGGAAACATGCTATTTTATGCTTATTTAAATATATAAATTATACACACACACACACACACACACACACACACACACACACACACACACATATATATATATATACCATGATATCTATATAAAATTTAGAAGAAGTTGTGCAACTTGGGGTCATAGTGCTTACCACAAAGAGTCATAGTTATATATTCTTCTACTAATTCATATGGGGTTGTATCTTTTCCTATGCCTTCTGTTGATGCATAAACTCGCCCATATCTCTTCTACAACCCTTCCTGCTTAGTAGGTCTTCTCAGAGACCTGAAAAACTGAGACACAGTCATGTGGCTTAGCCCTTGCCAAAATACTTTTGTCAGATCTTGCCACATCCTCTGAGAGCCCCTTCTCCATACCCAGGCCATATCTACACTATGGTTTTGATGTAACCTCTAAGATTGTTGTCATATATGGCTGAAAAAAGGTAAAACTGTACAAAAGGAGCTGTTTCACTGTATTCATTACTTATCATCATCATCATCACCATTATCATCAAATTGGACTTCAAACAAGACTGCTAAGGTAATTAAAATGTGTTTTCTGAAGAAGCCTCAATATCTTGTATCTCTGTTGGAATCAAGGTAGTTGTCCACCAACAGATGAGTGGATAATGAAAATTTGGTATATGTATTAATACTATCTAGCTTCAAAGAAAAAATGGAATTACAATATTTCAGGAAAATTGATCTACTTATAGTGTTTAATATTAATTGTATCCACATTATCTTAGAAAGAAAAATCTCACATTCTACCTCTTCTGAGGAATATAGGTAATGATAACTGTATATATGTAAGCAAGTGTACATGTGTGTATAGTGTCATATGTAGAAAAGAGAACAAGAAAGACTACAAATTAAGATACGGAATTGGATTGACTCTAGGTAATGGACATGAGCTACAAAAGAGTATATATAGCTAATTGTCTCATGCTAATTTCATTACAGAATTTTCATTTTAGGGAGGTAGAATAGTGCTTACAAATATATTTAAAAGTAGAAGTATAATGTCCTATGTAAGGCTCCACAGCTCCCATCCCAAATGGCTGCTCTAACTGTAGCTGTTAATTGAGATAGATAGATTCTGGGACTGGTTACATGCTGGTGTGTGATTTTTTTTGCAATCTTATTTATGATGAATTTTATTAAAAATGTTCATATGAAAATTGTTTTTCTGGAATATTTTAGGTGAACAACAGCAAATTTCCTAAATTGTGACTGTTATGATCACTGTAGATAATATAAATTATTTTGAAACAGAACTTCCTAATCTTCTGAGGATTCTTCATCTCTTGTTATAATGTGGATAACAGGAAGGCATTTTTGCATTAAGAGAAAAGAGTATCACATCCTCATATTTTTCTATAACCAATCTAGTCATTAAATTCCAGAAGATTCCCACATAGCTAGTGCAGTTCATC